ATGCCAGGGAATCGTTGGCCCGCGTCCTCAGATCCAGAGAGAGAGCAAAAGAAAGCACCAGGAAAGATCCTTCTTTGGAGGAAAACAGTTTATTCTCTGTGCACAGTGACAGCCAGCAGAATAACTTCTGGAAGACTGGCTGCCCAGAAATACGCCTCTGCAGACTTTCTTATACCTTGAGAAAGCTCCCTCCCTCCTCCCCCAAACGCCCTCCAAAAACTTCCCCAATCAACTGGAAAGTTTTTAACTTATTTTTATATGGCATGGCATATCTATAATGCTAGCCCTCTATGCAGCCCCCTCCCTATTTTCCCTATACGTGTCTTTCTAAGCGTCCTGCATCCCCTCCTCCCGTCTCCCTCGTATGTGTCTTTCTTATCTTACATTCCTAAAGTAAGAAAGCGAGGGGCCTCTGGTTATTTCTAGCTTACAGTCTCCTTCATATGTGTCTTTCTTATCTTGCATTCCTAAAATAAGAAAGCGAGGGGCCTCTTTTGCAGAAGTCAAATTAGCTCAGAAATTTACTTAGATCCAAAGTACAGAGAATATAGAAGATCCTTCTTAGGTACAAGGTACAAGGTATAGAAAGCATATAGAAAGCAACCCTTCCCTCTCCCTTCACTCCCTCCTCTTCTTATGAACAACCTAATACTTAGGTTCGTTCTGGGGTAGGGGTCTATAATCTCTCATGAAAGCAAGCACACGAGGTCCCATCATGCGAGACATCATCTTCTCCATCATACTTTGCATACATTGCATCAAGCAGGGCATACAGAAGCAGAAAAGCAATAAAAGCATTATTGGACCTATCACCATAGTAAATATCCTCCCCATCCATCCACCTGGGAAGATGCCGTCCAACCAAGACATATCCCAGCCCTCCCAGGTTTGTACAGGGACATGTGCTACCTTTTCAATGCTTGCTGCCAGATCACGGATAGCCTCGCCATGGTCTGAAATGTTGAAGCAACATGCTCCACCTGTCAGGTTCAGGGCAGCACAAAAACCTCCTTGCTTAGCTAAAATGAAGTCCATTCCCAAACGCAATTGGAGAATAGCCGTTCGGGTTTCATCTAGCTGGGTGGCAACAAGACGGAGGGCGGTGGCTGTAGCATTGGCCACAACTTCCACCACTGCCTGGAGCCTGATGATTCGATTGAGATTGTAAATGGGCTCTCTGGCACCTGCCACTAACTCATCAGGGTTCCAGGAGGCAGGATCATAGTGGGCAATTATCCGCTCAGGTGGCCATTCGTCCTTTCCCCAGGTTTGTTTACTACCCCCCGCGATGTTGGAGATATCAGCAAAGCGGCGGTTACGATGGGATGGGGAAGAGGGTATCCACATTGGAGGTACAAGAAACGCTGGAAAGCAGACACCATATCCGTTCTGTGGATAGAGGTGATAAGCTTTTGTTCCACAAATCCAATAAATATTACTGCCGCGCTGAGAAGAGGTCCAGCTGGCTCGAGAACCTTCCACCATGAGTGCAAGGTTGGTACAAGCCCCGCCACATTCAGAGATGTCCAAAGGACTACCACATGTACATTTACATGATGACCGTCCTATAAACCTCGTATAGTTGTAGACGGTATTTCGGGTTTGATTAATACAGAACCATCCAGAGACCCTATAAACTCGTAAAGGAGCTGAATGGTTCCAATAAGGAGTTGGGCGGGATGGACTATGTGTATATTGGATCTGAGAACGATTGAGGGGTATGGGGAGCATGGGCATTCCTCCTCCTCCATCTAAGGGTCCAAGGGTACAAACTAAACAAGCAGTTTTATTTGCTTCATGGGCTACTATTTCTGCCAATTGAAGCCACTTGTTATAGAGACTCTGAGCCCCCTGTTTTCTCATTTCCTGTGTGGGGAAAATGCTATTACGATTTAAGACCTGGAAGCATTCGGCCTTGGGAATAGATTCTCCCATCATAAATAGGAGAAGGATCATCAAGGGGATGGAGGGGATCGCTTCCTTCCAAAAAACCTATGGCGCTCGTGCCAACAGAAATACGAGAGCATCCATATGACAAGGGCGATACATATCACTCCTATCCACCAAACCCAATATCTCCATGGTTCCTCCCACCAAAAATCAGGGTTCATTTCTAGTTTTCTTTTACAGCTGAAGGGCCCACTGATACTCGTATTCAACTATTTCCTGGGCCTCAGGGGTAACTTTCCACTTCTCTGCTGAGGCACCTACTATACGGAGCAATTTCCCTACAATCCCTTGTGGGTGGACTGGGCTCTCGTGTTGTCTCTTCAAGATATTATACCCAAAAGGGGCTCCTCCCTCTTCATATATCAGCATGCACCCACAGGAATATGTCCACCCCTGCAATGGCCTGACACTTGGGGTGACTATATCAAGGGGTTCCGGACCCAATACCAAAAGTCCGATTGGTGCCTCTGAATTTGCTGGAGAGCAAGTTTCTACGTTGGGGACGCTGCCCGCGGGCGCCCCTCCCATCCAATTCTTCAGCCGTGCGTAGAGATATCAGCCTCCGGAGTGATATCAGCAGGGCGGTTGTCTACCGGGCGTCTGGAGATGGTCAGCCGAAGGGAATTCTCTGGATCTGGTGTTACTGTCCAGTCTGAAATGGCTTTCTTCACTCGAGTATGGTGGACCCACGGGGTGATGCCGGCAACCTTCACAGCAGTAGGGGTAGAGAGTAGCACAGTGTAGGGTCCCCTCCAGCAGGGCTGTAGGGGGGCTCGCTGCCAGTCTTTCACCCACACTTCGTCACCTGGCTCGAACTGATGGAACGGTTCAGTTAACACACATGGGGTGCGAGCCTGGGTCCACCTGTTGAGGTAAGAGAAAACTTGGGAGAGTGACTGTACATAGTTATTCAATTGTACATCTTGGCTAGCATATGGAGTTAACATTCTAACATATGGAACTGGTCTCCCAAACATAACTTCAAAAGGTGACAAATGGGTCCGTTTTGACGGGAGACTGCGGACCCTGAGTAATGCCAAGGGCAACATGGTCACCCAATTAGACCCGGTCTCCTGTGTCAGCTTGGACAGCTGATTCTTTAGAGTTCTGTTCATCCTCTCTACTTTTCCAGAACTCTGGGGTCTATAAGCAGTATGCAGCTTCCAGTTGATCTGGAGCGCTTTTGCCAGTCCCTGTAGGACTGCATGAACAAATGCTGGTCCATTGTCAGATCCTATGGACCTTGGCAGTCCATAGCGAGGGATGATTTCCCTAAGCAGGCACCTGGTTGCTTCAAGTGCCTTTTCAGTCTTTGTGGGCCATGCTTCAACCCATCCGGTGTAGGTGCACACTGCTACCAGCAGGTAGCGGTGCAGTCCACAACGGGGTAATTCAGTAAAGTCCACGACAAGATCTTCCATAGGTGCAGTTCCACTGTGCTGAATCCCTGGGGGAGCCAGTGGTCCGGCTCTGGGATTATTCTTTTGACACAGCAGGCATTTCCTGGAGATCTGGGCTGCCAGTTGGTAAAGGTGGGCTATATAGAAGCATTTTTCCAGCTGCTTGGTTGTAGCATCTGGTCCTATGTGGGTTGAATCATGGTATCTCTGAGTAACCTGCCGAGAAAGGGACTCTGGAATCCATATCCTGTCATCAGGGGTAAGGTACCATCCTTCGTTGGACAACGTCAACCCCTGAGCGTCTGCAGTGTCCCTTTCCTGCTTCGTATAAGCTGGCTTGTCAGTAGTGCTTAAAATCTCTTCTGGGACCAGTGCTCCAATAACCGAGGCGGGGGCCAGTTCTTGGGCTGCTTCCTTGGCTACTCTGTCTGCCAATCGGTTTCCTCTGGCCACTTCCCCTGGTCCAGTCTTGTGTCCATAACAATGGATAACTGCCACTGCCTCGGGCTCCCATACAGCATCCAGAAGGTTCAATAAGGCTTGTGGGTGGGCCACCTGGCTTCCTCTGGAGGTAAGCAAACCTCTTTCTTTCCATAAGGCTCCATGGGCATGTAAAGTCAGGAATGCATACTTAGAATCTGTATAAATGTTTATCTTCTGTCCCTTTGCCAGGCTCAGGGCTCTGGTAAGCGCAGTTAGCTCTGCCAGCTGGGCCGATGTTCCAGGTGGGAGTGACTTTGCTTCGATCACCTGGTCTTCCAGGGCAACCACTGCATAGCCTGCCTTCCGCTGTCCAGTCTCAACAAAGCTGCTTCCATCTACAAACCATGAAGGCCAGTGGGGTTTGCCTCATCTTTTAGGTCAGGTCTGCTGGAATATACTTCATCCATCACTTCAATGCAATCGTGCATCTGCTCCTCACCTTCTCCTACCGGCAACAGGGTAGCTGGGTTGAGGGCGGTGGTAACCTGGAACTTCAAACGCGGGTGCAACAATAGCATCTGGCACTTTCTCATTTTTGCTTGGGAGAGGAAATAGGTACCCTTCATGTCAAGCAGAGCTGGGACTGCATGCGGGGTCACACAAACAGTGTCTTGGCCAAAAGTAAATTTGTCTGCTTTGTGCAGTAGGGTGGCTACTGCCACTACTGCTCTCATGCATGGCGGTAAACCTTGTTCTGTAGGCGTCAGGCGCTCAGATAGGTATGCCACGGGCTGCTGCCAGCTTCCCAATTTTGGCATAGCACTCCCTTTGCTGTTCCCTGGTCTTCATCCACAAATAGGGAGAAAGGCTTCTCAGGATTTGGGATGCCCAGCGCTGGTGCTTGCTGCAATGCCTTTTTCAGATCCTTGAAGGCATGCTGTTGCTCTTCTCCCCACACAAAGGGGTCCTTTTCAGTTCCTCTGGTTGACTCATGCAGAGGCTTGGCAATTGTGCTGTAGTCTGGTATCCATATTCTACAGAATCCTGCTGAGCCCAGAAAGCCGCGAAGTTCCCTGCGATTCTTTGGCTCTGGAATCTGGATGATGGCTTGCTTCCTTTCTTCCCTTAGGGTCCGTCGCTGATGGGATATATCAAATCCAAGGTATTTCACGGTGGGTTGACATATCTGGGCCTTTTTCTTAGATACTCGGTATCCTGCTTCAGCCAGGTGATTTAACAAGTCCTTGGTGGCCTCCATACACGTGCTCTCGTCTGAACAGGCCAAAAGAAGATCATCCACGTACTGCATCAAGACTCTGCGCGGACTGGTGGGGAAGCTAGACAGGTCCGAGGCCAATGCAACCCCAAAAGGGTTGGAGAATTCTTGAAGCCTTGTGGAAGCCTCGTCCACGTGTATTGCACCCTGGTGCCTGTTCCCGGATCTGTCCATTGAAATGCAAACAGGGGCTGACTTTCTTCTGCCAGGCGGCAACAGAAGAATGCATCCTTCAAGTCCAATACGGTGAAATAACATGCGGTGGGAGGTATTAGACTCAACAGCGTGTAAGGATTGGGCACATTGGGGTGGAGGGTCTCCACGGCCTGGTTGACTAATCTAAGGTCTTGGACCGGGCGGTACGAGCCATCTTCCTTCTTCACCGGCAAGAGTGGGGTGTTCCACTGAGATTGACACTGCCTCAGGATGCCATGGCGAAGTAACCGTTCCAAATGTACCCATACTCCTTCCGCAGCTCTTCGGGGGATAGGATATTGGTTCACAGCCACAGGGTTGGCGAATGGCTTGGGCTTGACTATTATAGGTGGGATGTTCTTTGCCATTCCGGGCGGGTTGCTTTCTGCCCATACACCAGGGTTAACTTCTTGCAGGAGGTCTTCTGGAATAATCCCCTCCTCTTCTTCTACCATCATTAAGCGCCAGTGTTCCCTCAAGGGTACCTCTAAGGAGAACTCTCCTGCTTGCCCTGTAGTCATTGTCACTTCTCCTGTCGGTTGGAAGGAAATCTGGGCTTGCAATTTTGATAGCAGGTCTCGGCCCAACAATGGGATGGGACACTCTGGTATATACAAAAACTTGTGTTGGACCACTTGGCCGCCCAGGCGACAGGCAACAGATTGCAAGAAGGGGGCTCTTTGTGATTTGCCTGTAGCTCCTATTATGTTAATTGTTTGCTTGGTGGGCTTGGACACTGGTACTGGCAAAACAGAGTGGGCGGCTCCTGTGTCAACCATGAAGGGGATGGTTCGGTTCCCTGTTTGTATTTTGACCATGGGCTCACGGGAACCTAAATCAGCTGGGCCCGGTCTGTCCTAGTATTCTTCCTCCTCCTCTCTCAGGCTCATCGCGGCGGGCTGTCTTTGGGCTGGAGGGTGCCAGGGAGGTCCCTGTCCACGTCCTCTACCCCTGCCTGTATTTGCAGATGTCCAAGGTCTCAGTTCTTGTCCAGGTCCCACGGGGATTGGGCCTGGGATTCGCTCTCCTCGTCCTCCTCCACCTGAGTGAGCTTGTGGGCATTCTCTTTTCCAGTGCCCTTCCTGCCGGCAGATGGCGCACTGGTTCCTCCCCAGACGGCCTTGCCCTCCTCCCCGGGCACTTCCTCTTTCCTGAGGGGTGGGTGCGGTAGCCTGTAGCGCCATCAACTTCTTTGCTTGATACTTCTCCTTTTTCTTTTGTGCCTCTTCCTCCCTCTGATTATAAGTGGTTTGAGCCAGTTCTAACATCCACTCAAGGGTGTGGCCCATGAACCCCTCGTGTTTTTGAATCTTTCGGCGGACATCGGGCGCCGCTTGGGCCACAAAGGCAGCTTTTATGATAGGGGCGTTGGCAGCCTCATCTGGGTCCACAGGAGTATACTGGCGGTAGGCTTCCTTCAGGCGTTCTAAATATGCTCCTGGGGCCTCTTCATTCCCCTGCACTACCTCTCTAACCTTCACAAAGTTGGTGGGTTTCCTAGCTGCCCTTCTCATACCATTTAACACATTCTGGCGGTAGGTAGTGAGGATGTTCTGGCCATCAACAGTCTGATAATTCCAATTCGGGGTGTTTTCTGGATATCCTGCTGCCATAGCTGGATCCTGCACTCCCTGCGCTCTCAGGTGTGCTCGGGCTTCAGCATGGATTCGCCTAGTTTCTTCTGTGGTTAGCAGCGCATCCATCAAATACTGCACATCATCAAAGGTGGGATTATAAGTTTTAAAAATCCCTTCAAACAGCTTTATGATCTTCGCTGGGTTTTCCTCAAAAGATGGGTTTTGATTTCTCCAGTTACAGACATCTGCACTTGAAAAGGGTATATGCTGGACCGTATAGGTCCGTTCTGCTGCTGCTCCATTAGTCCCTGGAGGTCCTGGTGGGTCATAAACCCTTCGGAGGGGCATTACTCCGACCCCACCCTTGTTCTGTGCCTCATGGGACTTATGGAAGGCTGCCCTGGTTGCTGCTTCTATCCATTCCCTCTGCCATTTCTTCCCTTGTGTTGAGGAGCATCCTGCTGCAGCCAACACGTGGGGGCTAACATCCACTTCTTCTGCATAGGGTTGTACATACTGTTGCAATCTCAAAGACTGATACTGAGTCCACTCTCTTCCCTTCTTTGCTAACTCAACCAATCCCTTTACAAATTCCTCATCATCGTCTTCTTCTTCTTCTGATTCATTAGCCTTGGGGGGTTCAGGCTGGGGGCTAGCTCCTCCCGGTGCCTGGGGGCCTGGGTCCAGGGGAGGGGCAGTTGGTGGAGCATAGGGTGGAGGTGGTTTAATGACTTCCCCCTCCTCTTCTTCTGGGTCTGGTATCACTGGGGGCTTTTCTGACTTCCCTGTCGGTCGAACTGCACAAACTGTACTTTGTGGGCGTCGCCTCGGCAGGCTTTCAACCACGATGGGTTCTTTTCTACATTGGTTTTCCAAGTAGAAATGTAGGGGATCTGGTCTGGGTGGACGTTCAAGATATTTCGATACAGTGGGTTGATTAGTTGCAAATCGAAGCTCCCCTCCGAGGGCCAGTTAGTTTGTTGCGAGGGCCAGTCAACCTCACATAATGTTCTCATCCTCCGTTGCCTCAATTTGATTCCCCAATCATCATGCTTTGTGGCTGCTTTCCAGTTGTTTAAAAACATTCCAGAGGACTACATTGGCTTGCCCCAGACCCCATTTTCAGATACTCTGCTGCTAACAGGTTGTAAATTCTTTCACTCTACACACACTACAGCCCTACAATCGCTCGGCCAAGGGGGACACTAAGCCCTGGCCCACACTTGACAATTCAGTCACTAGAGTATCTGACATGCAACATACAACATACAAAACACATCAATATAATTTCAACATGTAACACACTAGACACACCAAAATAATTTCAGCATGCAATACACAAAACACACCAAAATAATTTCAACATGTAATACACAAAACACACCAAAATAATTTTCCCCTCTGGTCCCCCCATTTTTTTTTTTTTTTTTTTTTTTTTTTTTTACCAAACCTTACCGGTGGCACACCACTGCCACGCCCCTTTTTTTTTTTCCTTCCTGGCTGCACTCTACTGCATAACCAGGTGAGGCTGATCAGGCCTCCCTCTTTTCCCTTGGGCTCACGCCCACGCCCTTTCCCTTGGGCTTACCGTTTTCTGCTGCAGATTCCCTTCCCTGGCCAGTCCTCTTTCCTCCCTCGACCTGGGTCCTTGCTCCGGAGCGGTGTGGCTGGCTCCCCCCACAATTGGCAGGGTGCGCGTGGAGCCTGCAATTGCCGATCCGAGCTGTCCACCAAGGTCGAGCCTGGCTCTCCCCAGCCCTCTGAGGTGGGGCAGATTCCCGGTCAGGGAACCAAGATGTAGGCTGAGCCTAGTCCATGCCAGGGAATCGTTGGCCCGCGTCCTCAGATCCAGAGAGAGAGCAAAGAAAGCACCAGGAAAGATCCTTCTTTGGAGGAAAACAGTTTATTCTCTGTGCACAGTGACAGCCAGCAGAATAACTTCTGGAAGACTGGCTGCCCAGAAATACGCCTCTGCAGACTTTCTTATACCTTGAGAAAGCTCCCTCCCTCCTCCCCCAAACGCCCTCCAAAAACTTCCCCAATCAACTGGAAAGTTTTCAACTTATTTTTTATATGGCATGGCATATCTATAATGCTAGCCCTCTATGCAGCTCCCTCCCTATTTTCCCTATACGTGTCTTTCTAAGCGTCCTGCATCCCCTCCTCCCGTCTCCCTCGTATGTGTCTTTCTTATCTTACATTCCTAAAGTAAGAAAGCGAGGGGCCTCTGGTTATTTCTAGCTTACAGTCTCCTTCATATGTGTCTTTCTTATCTTGCATTCCTAAAATAAGAAAGCGAGGGGCCTCTTTTGCAGAAGTCAAATTAGCTCAGAAATTTACTTAGATCCAAAGTACAGAGAATATAGAAGATCCTTCTTAGGTACAAGGTACAAGGTATAGAAAGCATATAGAAAGCAACCCTTCCCTCTCCCTTCACTTCAGGTATACTGGGCCAAGGCCTTATTGCTCCTGTCCATGCTTCCCACTTACGTCACCTGCACCCCAGCCAGATTCCTCTCCTCTGGTGCTTGAGCCTCACAAGCAGCTGGGAGAGGAAAGACAGAGGAGCTATGGAGAGAAGAGGAGGGTGACCTTCGGTGAGTGACGCCTCCTGCCTCGACAGCGAGCAAGTGACAGGTTCCTGCATTGCATTGCAGAGGCACTGCCTCGCTTTAATTGCCATCTTCCCGAGAGGATGCAAAGCAGCAGCGCTCTCTTAATGGGGACTTGTCCCGGTCAGATGTGTCCGTGAGCAAATTCCCCAGGCAAGGGCGCTGTCGAACTTGCGCACCGCGTTCCATCCAAAGGAAGCTCTCTGGCTTGACAAACAGAGGTGTATTTATTCAGAGGGGTCACGGCTGTCAGGAGACTCTCTTTCTGCCAGGCCGACGGCTCACCTTCACTTCTGTAATCACAACAAGGCAGCTTCTCTGACAGCAACAATCCCTGAGCCTGCGAGAAGCTTCAATCAGCTGGAGGTGGTTGTGGCTTCCTGAGCAAGGTGACACGGGGGGGGGGGACCCTGGCAATCAGCCTCTAGGCCTTCATCAGGCTCGCATCAGGATTAATCAGGAGGATGAATACTGTGCCAACCAGGGTCCCCGCTGGGTGATCTAATTTCCCCAGGTGGGAACTTTTCTCTGCCCTGGACTCAAACAATAAAATAAAACTCTGCACTGCCAACAATGTGGGTGGAAGAGAAATGCCCCCTTTCCCAGGTAAGTGCACAAGAGCTCTGCTGCATCAAGCCAAACGCTCATCCAGTCCGGCACCCTGTTTTCACAGTGACCATACGCTCCGGCACTGAGGGGCGGAGAGCAGGCGGGGGTGTGGCTGGCGTGCGCCCCGGGGGCGTGGCATTTGTCCTAGCGGCATGACGTGCCACCTGCAGGGGCATGGTGGCCAGCGTGGGCGGGGAGCAGCCACAATGGCACCCCACCGGGATCATGCTGCCTGGCCAGTGGACTCCCCTGCCCCCCTCTGCCT